CTCAAGGCAGGAAGACAAAGCTATGTTTCGGTCTGCCTGTAAAAGTTCATGGTTTCTTCATCTCTGCTGTGGCACAAGTCACGAATTACAATTTTTTTTAACCTGCTTTCTGATCTCTGAGTGTGGAATGCAGGTGATGTAGCCTTTCACACAGAATAGTATCTAAAAGGTGAAACTTTAAGATAAACTTCATGACAGGATCCATTAAGAAGGGCAAGGACAGATGGCATGTTCTCAGATAAATTCGTGCACAAGGATGGGATGGTTTGACATTCCACACATAAATGCATTATTAGCAGAGCTCTCAACCTTCACTATAATTCCTCACGAGAGGAAAATTATGTTTTTGTGTTTTTTCATATTTCTAATATAAATTCTTTATTATCACTATCATCGCTGTTCTACATTCCACTTTCCACTTTTTCCTGCCTCTTTTATTTTCCAGTATGACCTAACTACATCATTTAATGACCTGAAACACTTACAAATTCTCTGATATTAGAGATGATTATCGAAACAAAATTCCTACTGAGCACAATTTCAGACATTATTTGTCACTGAGAAAAGGTGCACATTTCATGAAATGTTTGGATGTTAAGTACTTTGATTTCATGAAAAAGTTACAATGTCCTCTCTCTCAATATATAACTTTTGAAAATTGCAGATTACTGATAACAGAGAATTCTCTAGTTAAATGCTCTTTCCTGGGGCAAATAAGGACTCAAACCATCATAACAAAGAAAAAATGCATTTTCACTTCAGAGTCCATTGACATTCAAGGATGTGACTATCAATTTCTCCAAGGAAGATTGGGAACGGCTGGACGCATCTCAGAGGGAATTATACAGAGAGGTCATGTTGGAGAACTACAGCAACCTGGTTTCTGTAGGTGAGAATAAATCATTTCATAATTGCTGCTTAGCCCTATGAATGCCTAGTAACTTGTATTAGTGCTTGAATTACTTTCTATCAATGAATCTGAGCTCCCAATTATTACTAGATATTGGTGAGTGTAATATTTATTCAAAATTTTCTTAATCTAAAAGCTCTTTAATTTAGCAAATACTCCCATAAATCCCATTTTTTTCAGCCACTCAGTAGCAATAATGTGTTGATACAGTCTGATTCCCACAGTTTTATTTTTGTAATGGCATAATGTACACAAAGTTGAATGTATACACAATTAAAATTATGGATTTCTTCAAACTCTACAACCACTGTCAAATATGAACTAATAAAATTTCATTTATGAGTCTTTTCTTATTTAACTTGATATACACTGAGTACAAGCCTGTGTTAGAACCCAACTCCTTTTCCCATCATATAAATAAGTTACCATATCTCTTCTAATTCACAGGCCTTTCTGTATCAAAACCAGAGCTAGTCACCTGTCTTGAACAGAACAAAGAACTCTGGATCCTGAACCTAGAAGAAGCAGAATGTAGAGAACCAGGTAAGGTGGAAGGAAACAATGGTTTATGTATAAAGTAAAAAACAAAAGAACAAACCATAACTGCAGTGGAAATAGCCCAGCTCCTC